GTTACATGTACATACATGTACATATGCAGCACATGAATCATCAGAAACCTGCTTGACATCAGGAAACAAATAAGTTCTTGGTTTTCAGTTGTTTTTCAACCCAGAAAATGTATTTTAGCCTGCACTTTGAACAACTGAAAAAGAAAGCAATTGAAAAAGGGGCCCTCAATCAAATATTTGAAATTTGATCAATGGGTTGGTACTTAAAACAGATTCCCCTACAAACATTGAAATGCAGAATACATCACAAGTAGATCTTGTATGATACACATTTAGAATGTCATCAACAACATCTTCAGTGGCACTCAGCAACCATTGTCCAGACACACATGACTGCTCCTGTAAAGTGAAGGGTCGTCGTGTTTCCGGAGGGTATCACTGGTTGTCTCGACATGGTGGCTGGGGAAGTGGGGTTGTGGTTGAGGTGAAGTGCACTTCAGTCATGTTAAAGGAGGGACTTTGTAACAAATCTGGAGTCCTCGCACCTCCAATTGTCCCATTTGTGTGGACCTGTGTAAGTCCACTCATGTTCCTGACTATTTGGACTCTGGATCTTTTCTTTTTAGTTCCAGTACACTCTTTTCACTTGTAGCAATGAAGCTGAGTAAGCATAAACACAGTTTACCTTTTTATCAAGACAAACCTGTTGTATCTTCTTGTGAGATAAAGACTCCTGAGCATGGAAGGAATATTAGGTTGTCCATGTTCATGAATGCAATTGATAAAGGGTACACCGGCTCAAATGGCATCCTGAGTGTCTTCGCAGCTGCATTACATGTGCATGTTCATAGGAGGATTACCCCCCCCCCCGGCAAAAGAAAATTTAAATGTAGTGGAAACATTAGAATCAGAAATCTGTACTACTACAGAAGAAGAAAAACTCCCATTAAGCTAACCTGTGTCTTTACGGATACATGTTTGTGGAGGTGCTTTCCCCCTTATCTTAAAAAATAATCGGAAGTGGGGTTTAACCTTTGTGGAGAGGTGTCTCAAGGGTTGTTAGGTATTGCCATTTCTTAATGCAAGATACAGATGACTCCTGGCATATGGGTAATGGATTTAGATACAAAGTCCCACTCACATCATAATCAGTACCAGCTGTTTCAAGTTCACAAATGATGGTTTCTATACTCTGAGTCTAAAGATTTTGTGCTGGAGTATTGAGTGTTGAAGAATGTAAATCTGAGTATGATATGGGCAGTATTAGATTAGGTTTTAGTGTGGAATATTGATTCAGCCTTGGGAGCATGTTGATGAGAAAATGTAAATCAGGACATCAACAACAATTTAACCAGAGGACAAAGAACAAAAATAAATACAACCATTTTAAAAGGAACATTTAAATTAGCCCACCCGAATAAAATAAGACCAATTCTCTGGTTTATTTACACCTGGCATCACTTTTTGTGTAATGTAGATTTTGCCACTGTTTATATGAAGAGGTAAAGCTAGAAATATTTAGTGTAACAAAAGTAAATTTGCATTTGAAGTTGGTCACTTTGTAACACAGAATTCATAGAGAACTTCAAGGTTGAGTACACTGTTCAAATACCTATATCTTAAACTGCCATAGAATGCAAAAAAATTGTGACTGTAATTAAGGTTTATTTATTCCCCTGAAATCCATTTATTTGTGAAAACTCCAGTATTGGCAACCCTTTGCTGCTGCATATCATTGAGGATGTCAGGTGCAACATTGTAACATACATGTGCATGTATGTACATGTATACATTTCCTGCATTTGATTAGTCTCTTCTTAAAAAAGACGAAATGAGTTTTGCCTTTCATTGCTTCATATATCAAGGGAGCTCACATTTGTTCCTTTGTGAAAACAAAAAATGCAGTTTTGGAGAATTTTTCCCATGGATATTGTTGTGATACAGCTAATTTCATTGGATTTGGTTAAAATTGTTAAAGTTGGCTTCAGATAGTGTAGTTTGTTTGGACGAAGAAGAAATTTGACTAAGTGATCACTTTTGGTCAGTTTGACTGTTTGTGAAAACACTGATGATTCACATAATCATAGAGGTGTCGAGCACTGGCCCATAAAATTGTATGCTGGCCTAGTTGCCATGGAGATGGTAGTGAAGATAAAGAAGTCTTGAAGACATCCAAATTCTGCTTCTTCCCGATCTACACAGGACATGTTAATCTACAACCAGCCTGAAGCTTAGTGGAGTTTGTCAGCTTTTAACATGTATTTTATGTATACACAGCAATAGTCCTTTGGTTGTTTCTTGACTTCCCACTGACCCTCTGGTCTTGTGGGCATATGACCTTCCATCAACTGATAGTGGTCACATTGTTTTGACTTGAGAACCACTTTGTAAATAAACTGTGAAATATTTGTTAGCTGTAATTGCTTCTGATCTGTCCATGTATGAAGTACCAGTGAGAACATTTGTGTAATGGAAAGAGAGCCCAGAGATGTAGTTGCAAGGCAGTGATCTATCTGAAGGAAGGAAAAAAAATTATGTGATGTGGGGGAGCATTTACATATAAATATAGGTCTTGTCACTTGCCAGTTACAAAGCACTACATTAATTGACTCAGCCTAGCCTCAGACACTAATACAATCCATCTGAAATGTGCTTGGTTAGTTTATTTAAAGTTTATCTTGCACATTGTTGTAACAAGTTTTCAATTATTTCAATGCATTGCAAATTATAACAGTTTCTTTTTTTGTCACAGAAATGAGCCAACCGTACAGTTGAGCCTAGGCAGATAAGATGCAATATTTTCCACAACCACGGCCTAATATTGTTATCGCAGCATTAATACAATATAACTAGATATCTCATATTCCCCAAAATAACACATCCTGTTAGTGTACACATGTATATGCGGTTTAAATGAAGATTCAGTTGATGTCTTCTTTGTATTTGCAGATCAAGGAGCTTTGTCTTTGTAACAATTACAAGAGGTGCATCTGTCCTGCAGGTAGGTGATACATTAACTTGTCCGTGAACTCTGTTTATCTCACTGTCTTTATTGGCACTCGTCACTCTGTTAATGATACAGAAATGAAAGAGATTTTCATTTGCTTGATTTAACTTTCCCTCTGTACAATGGTGGTCCATCTCCTCCAAACTGATGTGCCTAGATTGATTGATCATGGAGTCTGTGCACACTTCTTCCAACAGACAGACACTTCAACATCATTGAGGCTCATCTGTGCTTCTGCCATGAATTAGATGATCTCAGGAAGTAACAAAAACCTTCCTTTTGCGCAAGACAGACATCCGAGAAAATGCATTTTAAAATATAACCTTTTTCATCCTACATGTACATTTGTGACCACCTTTGTTTTACAGCCTGGGGGATTTTTTGCATAGTCATGCAAAGTAAGGTTTGAAAAATGCTAATTAACTCTAATTTGTAGATTTGTTTTGATTTAAAGAGTAATTCATTAACATATGTTTTTGACACTTTGTTGGATTGTAAAACCTGGAGGTCTAACTATTTTACCCTATTTTAAATTATACACAGTTTTGTCACATTGTGAATTGTTACATTTCGTTACATTCAGCACATGCCCAGGTGTTCATGTTCAATATCATTGTGCATCTTGACACACTCTGTCTTGACCAGAGCTGTGTTTAGTCTCTATTTTTGCCCTGGTACCAAGGAGGTTTTTGTCTCTTTGTGAGACCAAAAAATCCTAGAGACATTTGTCAAATGTTTGTTTATTTTTAAGAAAGTAAACAACATTTGGCTGTAATACTGTACCAATTTGTTCCTTGAATCAAATGTACCTAAATGGCCGTAAAAACTCCAGATCGGAAAAATATGGATTTTCCAGGTTTTTGTAACTTTGTGAGATATCGAGAAATTGATGCATCTACTAAGTCTGTACATTCTACAGCTCTGTTGTCTTTTGACAATTACAGTTTAGTCCATAGGTAACAAGATAAAATACTGAAACTGTTTTCTTCTAATTTGGTGTTGTTACTTCACCTGTCCTAACGGCCATTCAACTCACCCCTCTTCCACGTTATTCCTCAACCCCCTCTCCCTCATAAACATACATGTAAATTGGCACTGTCCAATATCCTTCCTTGGCTAAAAAAAACAGGTAGGCTTTATCCTCTTGTGAATCCCCAACCAAACACATGAATTAAGAAAATGCACCGAACCGCTAATGCCCAAGTGAAGTGGCAGTGGTATAGAAATAATTAACATCGACAAGGAACCCTGAGAACTCCAAAGCCTTGCTTCCTCCAGAAACTTATCCCTGATTTCCCACTTAAGAAAGTCTAGCTCCTAGGCTTGTCAAAGAGATGCAAAGCATTGTTAGGAGTATGGCTGACTAACTTTAATACAAGGACTTCAAGCAGTGATAACTGGCTAGTCATAGCAGAGACAGCACCAAAGCTGAGCTCTCTGCCTTTTAACTGCTACTGGCTCAGCAAAATCCTCCTTTCTGTTTGTGAGTGGGATTTAAACTCGACTTTTTGACAAGATTTCTCCCTAGCAAAACACAATGCAGTATTAGTGATGCTCATTCCTTGCTTGACCTTTGTATCAGAGAATGCGTGGACACAGAAATTGTGCCTTTCATCACGCAACTATGTGGCAGTTAATGCAATACACCTTAATGGTTGAATTCTCTTTAAAAGCTGTTCTGATCTTGTTGAAAATATGAAATGATACTCTTATATCGACTAATGCAAAATTGTTTTTATGAAGCAATCAAAATGATTCTCCCCCTTTTTGTAATTGGCACATTTCCATAATTTTTGCAAGTTCTTACATTATACGGTAGGTTGTTATGCATATCTATAAAGAGTGAAATAGATTTTTCCCTTAAAAGTCTACTTGGTTGAGTACAGATGTAATTTGCTTTTGTGCAAAATGTACCTGGTGTATTCATTCAGGCATTCCAAACATGCCAATGAGCCAATTTCATTTGCTATAGTAAAGAGAGTTTTTGTTGCAAAAAATACTTATGGTTAAACTGTCATGTGGCTTACATTTCTTTTCACAGTTTCTTAACTTAACATCTGCTTAACAGTTGAATTTACTTGTCAAATTTTCTTCTGAACTGCTCCATGAAAAGAAGGCTGCTGTGTTCATGAAATAACAGTGTCGTGGACAGTTTGAAAACAATTGGAGCAATGTGTCAGTGCAAAGGATATCAAACAGAAGTTGAGAAAACAATCTGAAACATTTCAGAGTGGAACCTGATAAACATGGACACTGAAAGGAATTTACAGTCCAGTCATAAAAGAGCCAGCAACTGGTAATAATGACAGCAAACATATCGATAAAACTTTGACATTTCCAGAGTGACTAAAACAAACTTCTCAAGAGCCAAGAGGACCCAAGCTGACTTCCTGACCGAAAGAAAAGTTAAAATAATTACCTATGGTGGATGGGATCATAAATAAATCACTCTGGACTGGCAAGATAAATGACCGTGAATGGTGAACTTGGCAATGGTTGTGGGGATTGGATAAAATCTCATGTGTCCAGTAAAACAGAAAATAGTGACAGCGGCATCAGTTGAAAGATCAGACAGTGGGCCTAGGACATTGGCCTATGAACACAGGTGTATGTACTGGGGTAAATAACAAGTAAATAAAAAGTAGTTATGTGAATAGAATTCTTGGCTGTGTTTACCATACTTAGGTGACTGTATACCTTAGTTTTTATTATTTTGTTTTTATTGTATGTGGGTGTGTACATTGAAGTGTTTTTATTGCAGATAGGCTTACATGTATGCCATTATGGGGTTTGGCTGTTAAACGTTTGTAGCTAGTGGGATGAACACTGCCCTCTGTTGATATATGCTTTATAGCTGGCAGTCAAAAAGTCATTTGTTAAAATTACTCGATCGTTCTTGTCTTGTTTTATGAAATGATTTTTTAAAATGGAGTCTTGTCCAGTTTGCATTAGATTAATATCATTGAATATGGAATCAATTCAAAGGGGTTTAGGACCCATAATCACACACATTAACCCTGACCTTCAGGTGTATCTTCCAAAATCCTTCAAAGTTGAACATCCGATTTAGTCATATTCCAACGTAACGAGAACTTAACAATTCAGTGATTATAACATATTATGACTGTGATGTCCCAAGTTTGTTCAAATGCAAATACCATGCAAAGAGTAGCCCTACATTTATGTTATTGGTTTACTGCAGTGCTGGATTGAGGTGGGTCAATGAAGTTTGTTCACATAATTCAGTAAATGTGTATAGAGGAATCCAGGTTTGAAGGTATTAGGCCTTATCTTTTTTGATGAGATCTGACCTGTTCAGGTTTTGCATCATTGGAAATACCTGTTCACCCTAAAAAGGCCCATTGCTGTTGAACTTTGTGTAGTTTGCAAAGCATTGAATATCTCCTTAAGGAATGCATCCAACATCATGGGCACTCACAGTCCCTGCATGTAATAATATCAAAGCCAAGGCATGATTTGTTGCAGACAACCCTCTACTGGTGGCAGTGCACCATGTGACTGTACTATACTGAAGCCTTCAGAGTCATTACATCTGGGAATTAACGGGCAGAATTAGGTCAAAACCTCAGGGAGTTTAGGAATTGCAACGCAATCTTCCCAGATAATTAACATAAAATTGTATGCTTATTTATTTGCTGTGTTGTTGATTGTTTCCATGTGATTTTAGGTCAGCATTCTGGCTCTACTCTGTGGTCTCATGGGTCTGGGTGTGGAGTAGGCAGTCAAAGTGTCTCATTGGAAACTTGGGAAGAAGATTGTTATACCCATTTATTTTGTCAGTCATATCATACATGTTCCATGTAAACGAAGTTGAAAAGTGAGGAAACTGTTAACAGAAAAAGTCTTGGGCCTACGTGGTTGTAAAAAGGTAGAAAATAATTCTACTGAGCATTGAAGTGAGCAGTGATTTCCAAAACAGAAACCAAGACAATTTTAACAAAGCAAATCATAGAGCAAAAACCTAAGTGTTTTTCCATCAGACCAGATAGGTTGAATATCCATTTGATCAACATTAAAATAACCACTTTGAAAACTGTGATGGAATAATATACATGTATGTGTGTTTTCAATTTTTGTGTGGCCAGTACACATAATACTATAGTCTCAGTTTCCAGTCTCATCTTCAGTTTCTTCACCATTAGTAACTAGTCTCCATACTGGGCATGCTTTTTTCGACTATTAGTAACTAGTCTCCATACTGGGCGTGCTTGTAGGAAAGAAATAATCTGATAATGTGCATGCTGGCTCCATGCCACAAATTAGATACATATGTTGCAGGCATTAGATTATACTAAGCCCCTGGGGCAGTCTGAAGTGTCTGAGCTGATTGGCTGGCTCATATAGGCAGTTTAGCCTTGTAGCCAATGGGAGTCAAGCTACCAAAATGACCACAGATGAAGCTGACTGGGTTGTCTGCATTTCCAAGTTGTACTAGGCCAGGCATCACTGGGTTGTGTGGACTGTTATGTACAGTATATGTACACATCATGGTCCATTCACTTAGCCACTGACTTATCATTATCAGTCAGTGTTTATTTAGCTGAGGTAAGGGCCAATAGATGTGAGGTGTCAACTTCTTCAACTATTGAACAAACCATTTGACTGACAGATGAGGACTTGATAGCTGTGTCCTTCTTTAGGCAGTAAGGAGTAGGGCCTCCATGGTCACTAGTGCTTCTTGCAGATATGTCACTGGTTGAAGGTGCCAAGTTTGTTCCACATTTTATTAAAATTTGACCTTGGTAAGGACAGCAGGCAAGTTCCAGTTCCCAGGATATTTTTGTCAGGTGTGACAAGAGAGAGAGACCGGTTTTCAACATTTTAAGTTCTTTGAACATTTCTGGAACAGATGTTCTGCTATTTATAAATGAGAGAAAATTTCTGCTCTGAACTCTGTGGGACAGCTCTGCAAGGTCTGGAGACATATTTGCAGATATTACAGTTTTAGTTCAAGCGCCAAGCAGTTGGTGATTTTGTTGGAACTGACTTTTTCTCCGAGGGAGAACTTCTTTAATGTGACTTTGCTGTTAGGAAAAGCCTAATAAACTTTGTAAAGCAAGAAGAATTTGACCTTGAGATTGGGTAAGAAATTGTAGCACTTGAAGAGGACATCCTGCTCTTTCTACTGGCAAGCCATCAAGAGTGTTTTGATTTCAGTTTTCATAATTGTGACTTGAAGTTCACTTTTTGTCATGTTACATTTTCAGTGAGTAATGAACTTCAGAAAGCAGCCCAGCGGGACAGGAAATTGCTGAACATCAGACATAAATGCTGCAGCATGCCAGAATTGACTTTAAAAACCAGATTGGCGTTGAAGTTTTAGCTTTTGTTATGTTTTCTGTGTGTAACATCAGCAGAGATGAGTTATAGAGTTTGAAGCAGCGGGACATCTTAAAACTCTTAACACAACTTTCAAGCTGAGATCATCGTAGGAGAGCTTTTCATCTTAACTTCTTTTTGTAAAAGTCATCTTCATTAAGAATCTTTTAAGATTGCAGCTAATTGGAGGATTTGGATAAATTGTCAGTGTTCCAGAGAACTTGCAAATCAGACTTACATGTACATGCAGTAAACAGATTATTTTCTCCTTGCGGTAGGGGTGTAGCTGAACTGATTTGACCTGTGTCAGTGTTGGTGTCTGCTAAGCATCATCAGCAGTTTCCCAGATTGGCAGAGGCAGGCCAAGACAGACAGACCCCAAGGAACGGTAAGTTCTATCTTTCCTTCACAAAGTCAAAGTCACTACCAATAAGTGCCAGGTCTGTTGTCTGCTTGGAGAGATTTGTCTTGTCAAGAGTAAGGCTTATTTTTAAATCCCTGAAGAGATGAAGGAGCTTTTTCTTAGAAAGAAAATGTTTGATAGAGAACATCTTGACTGTAGTCGCTGTGTGCTGAAGTATTGTGTATTGGTTTACAAAAATTACAGATCTCTTTGTCTTCGTTAAGTATTTAAGTTCTTGGAAGTTTGATTGGGAAATTGAACACTTGTCATAGGTACAGATTTGCTTGTTTTGATACATGTATTGAATGTACTGGCCATCAGTAGGGAGTCTTTTACCCTGTATACACAGACAATAAGTGCATCTACATTAACTTCAGTTCCTACCTTTAAAATGAACCCAGGTATGATGGTTATAATTCATAAATTGGTTGTGTAGTGTTTGAGGATCAGTTCTAGGAGACTGACCTGGATTTGAAGGTTAAGCCACATACTTGTACATGTACAAAGGATCAATGTCTAATTCCAAGGATTGTGAAACATGAACAAGTCAGTAGTGAAGGAGGGCCTACATTTACAGGGTAAACTAGGACATTAACTGTGTTGTACAACATCATCTGCTTTTGATGTGCTTTGAACCAAGGTCACTTGATAATATCAAGTGCCCATGTGGGATTCTTTCACTTCTACCATGTATGCTGTTGTTGTCCACTGCTGTTGCCATGACATAATGCATGTACCTGTACAGTGTTTGCACTAGTACATGTACCAGGGCTGGTTTTTAATACTGATAGAAAAATCTTAATTTCAGTTTGTTGAAATACATCCACATGATCTGTTGGGACAGAAAATGTAAATGTTGAGAGAAATTTCTTATTTCCCAGCATGCCAGGCATAATTTCACTGTCTTAATAGGAAAATTGTCTGTCTGCATAACATACCATTATATGAGACTTCTTGGTAACCAATACAGGCCATGTGATCGTAAGCAATCTAGGCACAGTGGTAGATAACCTCCAGCGTGTTGTCACCCAGTCAACTCCACCACAGTGAACAGCTGGGGACTGGCCTGGCCTGGCCTTGTGAATTACTGTTGTTACTGTACATAAGTCCCTCAGCCATTATTGAGTTACTGCAAAGTTTGCTGGCACACTGCATGGGCACCAGACATTCTCCCAGGATTGTTGGTGCAGTTTGTGTGTAGCGTCTTACCATAGCTCCATGGTTTTACCAGAAACTAACAAACTGGTTGGTTGGGCTGTGAAGTGTAATCAGGTTGTAAGTTTCCTGTTGTGGGATTTGTCTTGCTCCATGATCTGAAGAAATGCAAGGTGAGTCTGAAGGTGGACAAGTATGTTCATGATGTTTGACAACCAATACCGTGCACAGGGGTAAGCTTGTCAAGTTGTAGTCATGGAGGATTACTTCATGGCTGTGGTTTAGCAATGGTGGTGGCATGGTACTTCTGCTGCAGCCTTGTATGGATTTTGTGTACAAGTTAATACTATAACCCTAAATACACTGTACATGTAGGGCCTATATAATAAACGTATATTGTGCATACTGGTACATGTATATGTTTCCAAGAGGTACATATACATGTACATGCGTAGCCCCATCAGTTGCCTGTGTACTTGTGTGTAGAATACAAACAGCCGTTTATGTACATGTACAAGGTTGGATATGGATTGTAATATATGCATCCAGGAACTGATGAATGTGTTCATCAACTTCTGTGCAGTCACCATACACTTTGTATAATACTTTGATATTCTTGCTGCATAATTTGCAGCGGTGTCTGTAATACAGGTACAGTACATACGATCAGCAGACATCAAAAGGCGAGGAGTACATGCATGTATGGTACTTGGTAGGAGTACATTTTGCAGTGCATGGTTAGTACATAATTTTGCTGTGTACTGTACAGTATGTGCATGAGCTCAGAGCTCAACATTGTAACATGTGCCAGGATAGAGAAAGATGTCAGAGGTACTGGTGGTACATGTTTATTTACTTGCATGTGATACCATTGCTACTTTGGATTCAGTGCTTACTGAATGAATTATGCGATTGTGCACATTCGGGTGAAAATTAGTTCAGCATGCTGTACTGTATGAGGTAATTTGGAGATTGCTTATAAAATTAATTTAATTAAGGAGTCCTGATTAAAGACAATCATGTGCATGACTGAAGGCTTCACATCAAGACTCATTCGTTTTCCATACTGTTACCAATTTAGCCAATTTGGATTTAACCAACACAACCAGCCTGCTGTAGAATTGTTGAATATGGTTTATCTCTGCTACAGGTACGTACATGTACATTGTTAGTCTTTGATATTCTTGGACAGAAGTGTGAAGCTGGAGTCAATATTTTCTTGACTTGATCTCCTGACATTCTTTGACCCTTTTGGACACCAATGTCGTACCGGTAGCCATGCAGGAGCAATACATGTATTTTCTTGTCCTGGGCCCCTGGTTTTTTTACCCATCTTTGCAATATTTTGGGCATATACCCTGTAAGCTTGCAGGTAAAAGCCTAAGCCAATATTTTCCTATTGTGGCTCTGTGGGATTCAGACTTGTTTTGCCTTCATCTCATCAAATGTGCCCCATCCTAGGACTAATAAGAAGAATGGCTTAACCTTAGAGACCTCAATCACAAGTCTCTGGATAGGTGTGTTTATTTGTTCCCAGTTACAACTTGGTGAGTAACTCCTCAAATATGATGTGATCTGCAAATATCAATTTCAAATTGATCGGGACACTGTCTTATTTTCAAAACTGTTTAATTTAAGATTCCAGACAATCTAGATTCATGTTGTAGACAACTTAGAATCATAAATATAATATGTCTGAAAACAAGAGCATGTCCATGTCAATTGGAAGTTTATATGCACCCAAATAACAAAGCTCACGATGTGAAGGGTTTTCGCAGATCGTATCACATAGGTACATGAAAGATTCTGAGTTTTGGAATCATTTGGTTTAAATTTAGGATCATGATGCAATTGAATGGAGTTGGAAGTTATTTGGTTTGGGCATTGTATTTGATACAGGCATTGTTGTCCGAAGCTGTAGATGTTCACTCAAGAATGTGTGCTCATTAGAAATACTGAAGTGGGGAAGCCATTGTCACATATGGCTCATGGCAGAGAGGTACGAGTACATGTAGATACCTTTTGTTGGAGTCCACATCTTGAGCTACTTGGTACTTGCTTATTGTGAGTATAAGTCTTGAGTCACTCAATGAAAATCATTAAATCGTTCTGATCTAGAACTCCGAAACTTTATACCTGCAGTTTAAAGTCAACATGTAAAGTGTTGATATTTCTGTTGTTTGTGCTCTCTTGATTCTTATACACGTTAAATTGATCGGAAGACCTTGAGTCATGAGTTACATAAAAGTCCAGGTTTGTCACATGGCTTTTCAGTATTAACCTCAAGTTACATTTTAGACATTCCTGTCACAAAATATGGTGTGAATTAGTGCCAGTTAAGTATGGAATATTGAGACACCTAGTTCCATTATGAATCAGACTTTCCCCTCTCCTGGCTGAAAGTACAAGTAGGTCTGGTTTCCTGTCACCTTTCTTATATTCAGTGGCTTTGATTGGCTGGCTTCTCTATAATCCCTAGTCTAGACTGTTTGCTTTTGTTGTTCAACCACAACCCAACTGACAATAAACTGATAACCTTGTCAGTGTATCAGTTACATTCCACTGGTCTGCTGTCTCTGCTTTAGAAACAGTGTCCCTTAGAGAAGAATTCAGCAAGTTCTTAAAGAGATACCGAGAAGAGAGATGCATCCTTTAGTTGTGCTTAAGGAGGTATGCAAGATACCATAGAAAGTTTCCATGTGAAGGATGGAGGCTGAATTTAGTTGTCATCTCTCTCGAGTTTGTGTTCTAAATGATGTTGTCAACTTTTTCATGGAAATGGAATAAATTAGAGCAGTTTTCAAAAACCAACGATCGAAATTTGTTTGTCCGTTAATTTGTTTTGGACAGAGGCTAATTGCTCCAGTAGAACCACACATTTAGTGGGAAAGAAAAAAATGTAGCTTGTTTAAGAGGAGGAAGGAGTATATGGCTACCAGAACTGGATTCGTACACACTGTGACAAGGACCGGTAATAGGTTTGTGATAACACCATGTAAAATATCTCTTGTGTGAGTGTGTGTGTGCGTGGCTCAATTCTGAAAAGAACCAGAGGGTATTCAACGTTTCAGACAGTATTCTCTATCCGTGATCAGGAGACCGTGACTTTTTATTTGCTAATTTAACTTTGTTTTCTTGTTCACTCACATACATATCTATCCACAAGACCACATCTTTGAAGATATTTTGAAATAAATGCAAGTGAAGTTTCGTACATTAATTTCATTAAGAATTAGAATTGCGAAGGAAAGACCAAAGTACATGCAAAAGTGTTTGTGCATGTGTTACATTCAAGTACCTTTTTTAACGATTGCTTGAAGAAATGATTTGTAATAGAAGACACCATTCTGTTGATAAATGTCGGTCATTTTTATTTGCTTATTTGTTTTAATTTCAATCAAACTTTCATTTGCTTTAATGTGTACATGAATGTGAAATAATTTTCTCATGTCAGCACCTATTATGCCCATGGAGGTCATGCCTCAGAAGTTTACCAATTTTAATGAAATAGGAAAGGTAAAATGATTGGTGAATGGTTGGTTCAAGGTGGTCATAAATCAGACATTCAAGATCATAAAGATCTCACTGTCTGGACCGCTGATAATTGATGAAATCATGAGAATGACCGTGGATCAAAGACAAAAAAACAAGCCTAACACAGTGACATGTGACTGGGAAATCAAATCTAATTAGGTGTGGTTTCCATTGTAAATCATCTCAGGTTGAAGCGAAGTAATTCTTGGGAAACTTCCGGATTTTAAAACTGTGTCTGGTTGCCATAATAAGTTGTTTGGAACACCATGAAAATTTCTAATCTGCCTACAAATATG